AACTGTGATTAAAAAAAAAAAAAAAAAAGAATAAAAATTAAAAAAAAAAAAAAAAAAAAAAAAAAAAAAAAAGGATAATGATGAATGTTTTCAGTGCTCGAAGCCAAACGCTACTCATGATGAAGTTTGACACTGATGAACTTTTTGTAATGGGTATGTCTCTATCTTTCTCTCTCTTTCTCACCCTGTAAGCTGCCAAAGATATCCATTGTGTTGTACTTTTGTAATCGCACTCCGCTGATTGTATAATTTTTCATTTCGCTCGTACACACTTTTTTAAGTTCATCGATGAAAAACTTCACCTGCGGAGCTTTTTTTTTTTTTTTTTTTTTTTTTTTCATCTTCTCTAGCTCATCGTATACATCGAGTTACTTATTGAGCTGCATCTTGTACAAAAAAAAAAAAAAAAAAATGAATTTCTCATCAGTCAATACTTGTCACATTTTCGAAACATCAGTACGAGCAAAAAAAAAATGAATCGCGTACCGCGTAGCTTTTAGTTTATATATAGTATAGTCAACCGATTGTGGGCCCAGCCTCTCTTGACGTGTGTTGTCCGCAGGTGCCGGCGGTGCGTTACAACGTGCAGCCAACGCCGACGGGGACCTCGTGCCTGAGCTCGAGGCGCGCGGCCACCACCAACAACGACGTCACCCGACAGACAACGGCCACGCCGAGCCAGAGCCCGACCACGACGCCTCTTCTGCTATTAACGGCCGAGTCGCGCAGCCCGATGTCAAGGAAGCACGTCCAGTTTCCCGACGCCGCCTCCTCGGCTGCCCCACCGATAACTGCCGACAAAATCACTTCGGGTGCGTCTTTGCATAATCACGTATATAGGGGTAAGGGGGTACAAGACATTTTTTTTCTTCTGATGTTTGCGTAGAACACCCACAACCCTGTCACCCTCGATTTCGGTCGATGCGGTTATTTAGCTGCTTGCGGGGGGAAATTATAAATAAAAGTACAAGCTGTGCATGGGTATACATCTGATGTTAGTAGTTGCTACAGAAATAATGGGTGGTTGCTAAATATTGGGCAAAAAAATTGGAGTTTATCGAGACCATTGAAAAATATATCACATTTTGTTGTTTCAAACTTACACACTTACATGAAAAACTATTTGATCCATAATCAATCGAGTGGTGAAAACAAAATTAAATCACCGTATCGTGTAAACCGTATATAGTTGATAGAGTTATCATCGCCACTTTAGTTTTTAAGCAACCATTCAAAAAAACACAGAATCCTCCGCATTTTAAATTAGCTTTTGGGTGTGGTGGCGTTTGATATTCATCATAATGTGTATAGTTGTGGAAAACACAATTTAACAGCCACTCTCTTCCTTTGCGCAGCACAAATCACATTAGCGTGTAACGAGATAATATATACGCTGCACGTGGCGCCGCTCTCATATCCCGCGAGAGAGCGAAAATTGCCCTTGTAATTCATATTACACGCGCCCATGTACATATATAACACACGCGCGTCTGTTGCAGATGAAGCGATTCCTCCGCGGCTGAAAACCCGATGCAACATGACGGAAATGGATTGCCTGCTCGTGCCGGCAAAACATCATTCAAGTCGCACAACCTCGACAACGAAACTAATGGTATCAAGTGATGCTTAAAGTATACTATAATCTGTATCCATACAGTAACATTATATTTATACATTTACCTATTGGCTGGACAATTTTGACATTGTTCCCTATACAACTATATACGTCTTTATCCGTGTGTCTATACCTACATTGTATTTCTTCCGATAACTATTGCGGATGATCATATATGATAATGTGCTTATCGATTTCATGGTTGAATTATAGTGTCAAAAAGGAAATAATAAGGTCTGACTTGATGTACAGCTGTTTCACTTGTGTGTGTAATGTTGCGTCCCAATATATTATTATATTGTACACACCTACGAATTCACGTAGGTATATTATGTGCGCACTAAAATTTTTACTGTAAATAAAGTTGATTTTATCAATACCAATACTGTATAAACAATTCATCCTGTATGTGTAGTCATTCATATGGCATGATACACAAACAGTGATGCACATTATTTATCGCTCGGAGTTATCATTCAAATCCAAGTGCTCGTCGAGCGATAAAATTGCAAAAATCACCGGGACATTTAATTTACCAATAAAACTCGCATGAAATTACGTTTGCTCGTATTATACACGTTTCAATCAAACGAGCAACCCCCCCCCCCCTTCCCTCTCCCTTTCAACTGTTTAAGTAAGGATATAATAATTGCATCGGGTACAGATAATGTGTAGGGTAACGATGTACGCATTACCGGATCGGCAGCTCGGGCAAAATCGGTACAAACCGGTTTCCAACGTTAAAACGGACCTGTCCATGGTAACATGAAACCTATAAAAACGTAAAAAGTTCCAACAAGTGAATAAAAAAGAATCATTTCGTCCCTCGAGGTGGGCGAGAAAGGCCTTAAAACGCGTAACGAATAGTAATGGCCCATCCCCCAGGCGCGGCTGTGTTGCCTTTAATGATCGCATAGGTATATTTTTAATGGCAAAATAGATACAAGGTGCGACTCGACGGGTGAAGGGGCTTTCAAAGCGAATCCCCACGGGTATAGGGAAGTGATGACGTTATAACGAGGCTGCACGAACGAAGCGGGAATCGCTTGGCGGTTGTGGCAGAGACGAATTAATAAACGAGCGAATTTTCCGCCGAACAATCATCCGATCGGCCTTTCTTTGTTTCCCCGAGGCAAAGGAGGGGCGCGGAACTCTGTGAAAATTATCGCGTGCCGCGGCAACGAGCCGTTAAAGCTGGAGCACCTATATAACTCGACGAGCCCCCCCGTTTCAAAACTGCCCCTCCTCCAGCGTTAAAGCACGCGAGGAAAAAAAAAAATGGGGCGGAAACAAAAATTTATTGCGGCGCTTGGTTGTTTTTTTTTTCTCCCCGGAAGTGTGAGAAAAATTTATACGAGGGCGCGATTAACGAGATTACAAAGGCGGGAAACAAAGGGAAATCTGACGCGTGCGTTGTACGGGCGAATTGTTTTCTTCGAATAACCCACCTGATGCGTACAGGACTAATGGTATCTCCGAGGGCTGTTTGACAAAGTTTTTTTTTTCCTCGATCTCCCCCCGCGAGTCGTCAAGAAATCTTTCTCGAGAAATACGTCCGTGGAGTATTCATTTCGAATCCATCCCTGAACTAATTTGTATCCTCGATGCGGAAGAAAAAAAGACAAGTCCTTTCGAGGAAGATGTATATAAACTCCTCTGTTGGCGGTTCGATACAAACTTTAGAAAATTGTGAGCTTTTGTTCGATTCCCCGTTTTGTGCGCAGATCCTCTGTTTGGGGGGTTTAGCAACTCGACGGCCCATTGTGTTGATTTTATTGTCATCGTTGTCGTTGACGTCGCCCTCCAAACTAATTCAATTAAAATGAAAACATCAAGTTGTTGCTTGCCCTTGGCTCCGCGCTGTTTTCATTCGACTTGAGGAAAGTTTTTAATTACGTAACTTGACGCTTACTTTTCGCGCCCATCGTCCGAGTACACGTATATATACAGCTTATTCCTCGAAACGTATATTGTTGTCGGTCGGTGATTTCCAGCAATTGATGCTTATTGGAAATTTGTTACGTCAATCGATCTCTGTTTTTGCAGGGGTCGAGCAAAAGTATACGTGTATAGGGGGAAAATGAGTTTATTAATTTTTTTTTTTTTTTTTTTTTGTGTATGATGGTACTTTTGTCTGTTTATTTTGCAATCAATTAAAAAAATTAATAATTTTCACTCGAGATTTCACAGAATCGTGGAAAATAAACGAGAAATCACTTTGATCGAAATTTATTATGTGTATAGGAGCCATGAAACATTTTTTATGACAATTTCCTCGGATGAAAAAATAAAATATTTCTGGTACATTATGTCAATACTGGGCGAAACGAAACACAAATGACATTCAACCATAAATATGTTTACTTTTTTTTACAATTACATTTCAATTAGGAAAGTTCTATAAACGAAATACTATCACGTTTATGGTTTGATTTTAAAATCTCTGAGGAATATTTGTTTCGCGTAAAAGTTTCAGCGACACATGTTTGTAAAGTACACTTTTGAAATATTTTTTTACATACCTACACAATAAACCGTTACGTCAAGTGTTGACTTATCGTAGTAATAAACCAAAATACAAATATTATTTACATCGATTTGATGCTTTCATTTTACATGCTTAAAAGGTGTTTATATAGTCTAATGTACAGTTATATAAATAGTACAGTAGGTAAGTAAAAACAAATTTCTATCATTAAAAATAAACATCCATTTAACATATTTAATTCTCTTACAGTGTGAATGGTTTTATGTGATTTACGAAACGATATACAATATACATCGTGAGTAATGTTATTAACTTAATAACACAGCCAATTATCCAGTATCCAATCGATATTTTAATTTGTTTTTCGATTACATGGAGTTTGCGTTTATCAATTTTATTTTTCCAGTCTTTCGTGAAAATTTTTTATTTCAGTCTGTATTCCTTACCTTAGAAATATAAAAATCTTTTCAACTGAGCATTCAAAGTTTATAAATTTTTCATAAAGTCAAAAAAAAAAAAAACACCATTTCCACAAAACATAAATTTTAGTGGTTAAAATTTTTACTTGTATGAAGTTGAATGAATGCGTGATTGGTGGTAATATAATTTTTCTTCTTAATTTTGAGTGCTGCTTTTCCATCATAAAAATAATTATGATTTGTCAAAACGCATGACTATTTTTTACTTCGAAAAAATGATTTCTTCAACCATAAACTAAAAATCGATTACTAATTCGAATTTAATTTGCCTAAAAATGATGAAAATAAATAGGTAATTATTATATGTAGAGGGGATCGCAGGCGGAGAATCAACGAGGCTCTTTAAATAAAAGTTTGTTTCAAATTGAAGTTAAAAAATAGATTTTTAAAACATTATTTTTATTTTTATACAAGAAAGACAATATAATTTTATGACCTATTAAATGATTTTCTGTTTTGATAAAATACGAATTGGCAGTGCAATGTTCAATGAAACATAATTTGATTTTTCCAAAACGTAATAATGCTAGCGTTGAATTTAGCAATAATGATTTATTTACGTCATTGCTCTACTAGCAACTTTCGTTTTATCTACATGTTATTTCTTTTATACTCTTTATTTTTTTTTAAATTTATTTATATTCTTATTTTATAGAGATACTTTCTTCTACATGTAAATACAAAATATCAAATAGTTTGTTTATGTATAGATAGGTACAGTATAGTTTTTAAATTAATTTAAATATCATTTATATTTTCGTTGGAAGTACGCCGAAACGATTCTCATTCAACTGAGTGCTGAAAGAATTATGTAGGTATACATAAATAATTTAATATTGAAATTAAGTGATCTACGTTAAAAGTGTAAAATAAGATGAAATGTTGGATGAAATACTTTAATTACAAGCCTTTGTTAGAAGTTACTACAACACAAAGAGTCAATTATTAAAGTAAGGATGAGTTAACTGTGATTAAAAAAAAAAAAAAAAAAGAATAACGATTAAAAAAAGCAACATAAATAAATTGAATAATCAACACAGAATATTAGATTAAATTTGTACATACGAAAAAATACTATTTCTGATGACATCTGAAATAAAAGTAATGCAAGTTGAATCCAAGCAATCATTACCTTAATATCATCTATAGCAAACGCGTCTTCTATATCCATGCTACGACTAACAAATAGCTGCTCGTAGTATGAATCACCCAATTTTCTATATAAAACCGTCCCCTGAGGTCCAAAAGGAAAAATAATGCAACAAGAGAAACGTATATGTGTAGCCGAGCCTCGTCAGTCTCGCGCCTCAATCAACCCAGTGGCTATCTATACCTCCGTCAACAAAGAAACTTTCCGCTAGGAATATTCACAGCGTCACGGCACTTGGACGGTGGTGGATTGTCTTCGTCATCGTCCTTATTCCAGTAGCCATTCTGGTTGTACCTTGCTATCGAGTTGCCAGCAGCTGATAACCTAGTGATTCTGCGCTCCTCGGTCTGACAACGTTTTTCCTGTTCGACATAATCTTGCAGGTTTTTACCGAGAGACGCAAAGTCAGGTGCGTCCTCATCGGGTTCGTTTTGCCGACCACAACGACGATAGAACAGAATGTAAGGCGTGTCCGGCGGCTCGAGCAGCATAAAGTTTTCAAAACCGACTTGCGATACAAAGTTGTCATTGAATTTGTACCAGCGATTTTTCGCATCGCATGCGTACGTTATGTAATGGCCGTAGTCCATACTGTACCCCGAGTGCACGACCGCAGCGTATAGCTGATACGTTTCGTTGTCTTGGTCTAAAACTGGTAGCTGTATGGTCTCGTTGTAGATAACCTTACGACGCAACTTTGTACGCAATCTACTTTCTGAGTCGTATCTGAAAGTGACGGAATTGAATTTTAGACTTACGTAAAGTTTTTTTGAGCAACAAATTGCATAGTCGATACTTACCGAAAATGCTTTAGCGTAAGAATGAGATGCGCTGGTGCCTGGAGAATCTTGATGATTCTCTGGGCATTGCAGAGGGTCGCACAACTGTCACACCTGTACTTGTTGTCACCTGTTAGGTGTTCTGGCATCGAATAATTCGAGTTGATGAGATCCTGCACAGTGATCGGATTCGTGGGTGCCAAGGTATCGAGAAAACACAGCTGCAAGTCCCTGAATTGATCCGTGTTGTGACTCTCAGTGCCACACTGCATGCATTGATAAGTGACCTTAAGCTCACCACCAAAGACTCGATGTACGAGGTATGGCGATGCCGTGATCGTGTCTTCGCCTCCCACGGACTGGATACCACTATCCGTTGAGTCAGAGTGCGAGTCTGACAAGCCATTTTGCGTTTGCGCCAATTCTTCGCCTGAAAAGAAAATCAGAATTCACGTTAACGGATCGCATTAAACTTTATATATCCGTCGGTTTTATTTTTGGAATGTGAGTCAGCAGAAAGCTCAGAGCGCACCATTTTACACAAAGAGTAGTCGCACTCATATGGGAATTAAAATTGACCGAGCTGTACAAAATTATTAATTTAGAATCGAGTGGATAAATAAAACACCTTCGCTCAAATTTCCTTCAGTTGTCCATCGGGTTATGGTTTTCGACGTGCCATTATCGTTCAAAGGTGACTCCAAAGTTTCAGCTGCTTCTTCCTCTACATCCATGATTTCTTTCTCTACTGTTGATTTCTCGCTAATACTTTGATCATTGACACTGACGTTCACCAATGCTGATTTTTCTTGTTCATAAAGAACATCCAACAAGTGGCTGAAAAAAGAAAAGTAAATAAATATATAAATAAATTTAAAGACAGCAAAAAAGGTAGCGTAGGATTTATAAAGTATTAATTCGCTATATGTATTTACCATAAGAATTCTGAACTATCTTGTTGCTGTCCAGGCATAAAATAAGACGGTTTCGAAGATCGCCAGATTTCGGTAGGAGCGAGCGAAGCTTTTTCCGAATACTTGAGCAGGGCAAACAGATTTTGCAAATGTTTCAAAATCATTTGATTGGACAAGTTTGTGCTCTTATACAGTAGGACCTCATGGGTAAATGCCCGGGTCATTGCAAGCGCCTGTAATACGCTGTTCATGTAGCACGTGTTGCCCAGATTTCTGAGACCAGTTTTACCAGGGTCTATTCTACCCACGCCGCTACTCGTGCTCGGATAAGAAATCTCCATTTCTTCTTTTTCCTCGGTTACTTGCTGTGCCGCCATTCCTTTGCACAAGTAAGCACAACAAAGTTTTTCCACAGTCTCGCAGATCTTACACGAAGCAGCATTTTGACGATGAGCGCTGAAAGTCCCCAAGAGAACCGAAATGATTTGGATAATACTTCCTCTTACAGCCCTTTCATTTGGGTACGTGGATATTCGTTCATCCTCCATAAGATGGATGAAAAGTTTCATCATTTTGTGAAATAATTCTTGTGAGCTGACGAGCGATAATAGGAAAAAAATGATGTTCTCTTCAGGGATGAGTGTGTAAAATTGCTGAGATCTCATACATTTCAAAAAAATTAAAGGTAACATTTCGTCTGCCACTTCTGTTACTATTCGACGTTTTTGGTACTTTGTCCAACTTTTCATGAACAATGTCAACCATCTGCTCAAATAATTCATGTTGGTGTAAGGTGGTTGAACAAGCCATTGGCAAAATAAATTAAGCATTTTAATGATCTTCGGCTCCTTTATGTTTTCCTTGATTAAGTGCTCAACAACGACGCACATGTGATCCCTCCACAATTTTTCATCAACCAGCTGAAGAGCAACAAGCAAGGCTGCACTTGGATTTTCCATCCTTTCGCTCTTGAAGAAAATCTCACAAAATTTGTTAAAACACATCATGGAGGCATTCATGACATCGAATATGCGTCTTTTCTTTAAGAAGTCTGATATCGTAATCAGGTCCTTGCTGTACTTTTTCATCTCTACCGCATCTTCCGGCACTTGTATCCAAGACAATACTTCTATAATGGCCTGCCACAGGCTGGAATAGTCACAAAGAGGTGGTAGGTATTTCTCATGGTTGTCATTCAATACTTGAATAATTTCAGCCAGATATGGTTGATGCTGGAAAAAAAATATTATCACAAGTTAAAAAATGATGGTAAGATTTTCATGGTACTGTATGTACAAAAAAAAACATAAGATTTCTAGTTATTTAAACTTTTTCTGATATGATTTTTTTTGACAGTGTATTGATTCTTTGATCAATATCAAAAATTCGACTTTGATTATAATATTTAGGCATAAACAATAAGCTTTACTAAGAAGTAGAGAAGATATAAGAGTATTACTCAAAACTTACTAACAAATCTGAAACAGTACAAAACCTTAGTTCTTGAAAAGAAAAAATTAATATTAAAATGACGCATGTGACTTTTGTACACAACGTTTTGCACATTTTATAGTAAATGATCTTTTCTAAAATTAGATCAGCACTAGTGTCATTGATCTAATTAAAAAGGTAGCTTTGTTACATTATAAATACATCCACCCAATGATGTGAAAAATTAGTTGTACAGCAAATTTTGAGAATTCAAGAAAATGGTAAAAATGATAACTCGTATATTTATTTATGGGAAAATCTTCATCATGAGCAGCATTTATTAAAACAATGGAAAAAAAGAGACAAAGAAGAGAGCCAAAAAAATCAAACAAACAACCTACCTTGAAGTCGCTGGCAGAGTTGATCAAAAAACGTGCTATGTCATTGGAAACGGGGTTATTGGCAGTAGTGTGGGGAAACGGAAACTTGGAGAACCACTCGAGCAGCTTCGGTATCTCAGCAATGTTCCTAATCTTGTCCTCGATGAGAATCGACCTGAGAATCTTATCGTAGCTTCTGTTGCAGTCGTAGGTCGAGTTTTTACTGCCAGACTCGAGGTTCTCCATCTCCTCGAGGCTGTTCCAGGCCTCCTCAACCTTGCTCTGCTCATCACTGGACACGATTCTGCGCAGGCACTCAACGAAGGCCGGCGCCGTGTCTGCCACCTCCTGGTGATTGTGCTGCTGCTCGACAATCATCTCGCTGCCACAGATACCACTTTGTATGTAGTCTCCGTTGCTACTGTCACTACAAACGATGTCAGTAACCTGATGCAGCTCTTCGATATCCTCGCTAACGGCAGTGTTGCTGCTACTACTGCTGCTGCTGCTGCTCCGCAGACTACGACGCTGACGCTTACTACTCGGAAGCTGCTGTTGTTCGGGTACACTGCTGTTGATGTTATTGTCGTTGTCGCTGCTGGTGCGCTTTCTTCTGCCACTGCCGGACGCCGACGACGACGACGACGCCGACGAGCCCGCCAGATCCCTCATGTACTACACAAGCATCCGTCCAGGACGCGTAATTGCATTGCTACTACTTGCTACACCAACACACTCTCTCTCTCTCTCTCTCGACGCTTCTTTTCTCCTTCTCCTTCTGCTCCTCGCCTCCGGTCACATCACCAGTCACCACGACTTCCACACACTTTCAACTGTCTTGAGAATTGTCATCACTGGCGTATTCGTATTCGTATATAAATACAAAACGTCGTGCACAGTCAATGATGCGCGATGATATTTAATAACTGTACAAGTATAGGTAGGTATACGTGCAAATGCACGAGGAGACGCCAATGACAGGCTGCAGCTGAAGCAGACGAGGCGTTCCTCTCTCTTTCTCCCCCGAAGAGTTAAAGAGCTCACTATTATTATTATTATTATTATTACTTTGTGTATGTTGTATGTAATATATAAAAGTTAGGTATAAGTACAGGTGTGTATAAATTTTTTTTTTTTCTTATATTATAGTGTACTGACCTTATACTATGGGTATGCATGCACATGTACACTGTCTTTGTTCATTCAACATTTACATTGTCTTTTAACATGTCGTTTTCATCGTATCATTATATACGTTTCTCTTATTTTCGCTTGTTATTACATTTTCGTTCTTTATTATTCGCATATCATATCTATTTTATCTCCCTGGTCACGCAGGACCGGTTATGGCGAGCTCGTCACAATTCTTGATTTTTCAATCGCTTTTTTATTTTTCTTTTCATCTTAAAAACTAAATCTTTATCCTAAGTCGGTTTCATGAATTCGATACCCGGCAAGAACCTTCAGAAAAAATCTGAGTACCTACCCCGACCGGGAATCGAACCCACGACCCCTTGAGCTGTGTTGTTTCGGTGGCTAGCAACGACGAGCTCAGGTGTGTATAAATATCAAGTGTTATGCATAAAACAAAGATAGGTGTACTTAAGCCTTGAATAAACGAGTAACGACATAGGTAACGAGCGGCGAGTCAGACGAGGGGAGAGGGGATTAAATTTCTTTTTCTACATATTATCATCAGATGATGTTATACATATATATATAGGTACAGGAAAATACCTATACCTATATATAGTATAGCTTTTCCTGCTCCAAAACTCTATATTCCGTAATTCCGTTCTCGCATCGCAGAGCAGCGCTCCTTTGAGCCGCGCATGATATTATTATTTTGTGAGTGCAAGTTTTCATCGCTGATACTTATTAACATTTTCCCCTATACTATGATTTTCTGATCTTGAATTCTATAAAAAAAATGATAGAATAACTTATACACCTCGTACTGGTTAATAAAATTATTTCTCGATGCGTTTAAAATTTTATAGAAAAACTGCTTACAGTTTTTATTACCTAATGCTGATAAGCACAGAGGGTTTATTACATTTAGTCACCGATTGAGTGATTCGCATGGTAACTCACGAATTTTTCATTTGAAAAACACGGTCGTTTTCCGTTTTCATTATTCAAATATTTATTGCGGCTAGTGTAAAGACGTAAAATATGAATAAACAAAAACAAACTAACACGATATCTCATTGATGCTGTCTGCTATAAATTTTATGAGCGCTGCTTGAAGGGTGTTGATTTGTTGTGTTGTTTTTATTCATTCGGTAATTTCGGTGTATATACCATCAGTGCAAAATGTCAACATGTGAATTGTAACTGACAGATATACTTATGACGAACACAAACATTTTTAATATAAATATGTAACTCGCACTCGTGAAGTCTGTAACGACAGCGGTGGTTGACCCTTGACCCAGTATAAAGTGAATATCTTTTCCGAGTTTCGACAACACGCCAAACACGGTACTTATATACTTTTTGTAGGTACATAGGTAGTTACATACGCATACCATCAGCTCAGCGGTCTTGAATGCCTTGATCGACTCTGGTACGACCTTAGCCCAGCAGAGTTCGGTCAGCTCGGCGCGTCGGCTACCTTGCAGTGTGGAGTATATATGTGGTGGTGAGGAACTGAGAAGTATCTGGAAAGTGGATAGGAAGTATATAGTTTATACTGTTTATAGGAAGCTTGCATTTGCAACGCAGTAACAGGCAGTAAGCAAAACACCGTGAAGAGACTACTAGGTTGAGTATAAGATATACTGCTTATCAAGCGCGTCGTCGTCTACTGCAGGAACAAATCATATCAGCAGATCCGAGCACATTTCTGCTTTACATCGCAAATCAGTACCAGCACACTCTCCAAACTGCTCAAGACTTATCAAGTCCACTGTTTGTCTACGTCAATATCTGCAAAGCATAAAAACACAGCTCAAAAATGTCAGACTGGGATACTGCTCCGACAATTATTCGCAAGAGACCGCCCAAGGCTGGCACATTGAAGTCCGAACAGGTGAGTAGTACTCATTGGTAGTAGTGGCAAAAATTTTTACCCTAGCTACCGTCGGCCAGCAACTTCGATTTTCCCCCCTTTTCGTCTGCCTATACATACTCCATACTTTAGAGTCTACTACTTAAATTTTTTATTCTCCTTGTAGTACTTTTGTAATTCTTGAATGATGTGATTTGATTTTAATTTTTTGTTGTTTTCTATTTTATAGGCAGTGAACCAAGCTCGCCGGCAAGGAGTAACTGTGGAGACTCAAGCCAAATGTAAGTCGTGGCTTTATTGCCAAATTCGAATTATTATTCTACTCCGTAGTTTTATAATAGTGTTTTGATGTGGGTACTTATTTCGTTGACTCGTTCGTTAGCTGATTTCCACTCTCTGTTTTTGTTGCCCTTATGTTTACGTGTCGTTGCACCCTCGGCTTTTCCTCAAAGTACGTGTATATACACATTTGCGCGTGTGCAATTTATAGATCGGGAGTAGTGGGTTTTCTCTCCTTCTCGCTTTCGCAAATGATGTGCGACTTGAAATTTTCGCGAGGCTGGTAATGCGGTTGTTGTGCAGATGATTTTTGTTCATTTTTTAGGTGTATGCATATAAAAATGTTTTATGGTCAACACCATACTTGACATGAGTTCAGTAATGTTGGATTTCGAAACATCATGTAAAATTGAGTAAGCTTAATTGTATATGAACAGATTTGTAAATGATCCTTTCATGAACAAAGTTACAAGTTTTTCTAGATGCTACAATGTCTTTATCACCACCTATTATAACTATTCACTCGTTAAAACTTGCTTGGAGGCAGACTTTTGAAACTATTATTAAAAACATGATGCTATTATCAATTGTTTTTCTGAATGTTTCAATATTTTTATCGCTATGTATAACTTTACAAGTTTTTTCTTTCCATTTTACGATATAATAATAATATTGCTCCATCTTTTTTTGATTTTTACTACTTTATTGTAATTTCAGGGGGAGGTGGAGCCAACAAGCAACATGTTACCACAAAAAATACAGCCAAATTGGACCGTGAGACTGAAGAATTGAAACATGAAAAAATTCCCCTTGATCTTGGCAAAACAATTCAACAAGGAAGACAGGCGAAAGGGTTTTCTCAGAAAGATCTAGCCACAGTAAGTTGTTGAAGTTAAGAAGATTATTTCAAGCAATCAGTAATATAATGTTCTGTGTGCACACTATTCATGCACAATTATTTTTCAGAAAATTAATGAAAAAACACAGGTGATTACCGATTATGAAGCCGGCAGAGGTATTCCCAACAACTTGGTGCTTGGCAAAATTGAAAAAGTACTTGGAATTAAATTAAGAGGCAAGGATCGTGGCAAGCCAGTGCCAGTAATAACTGCAAAAAAATAAAATCGGATACACATTTTGCTAAAGGGTGAAACTCTAAGCGAATATGAGGGTGAAAAACCCTTTGGCAAAAAAAACATAGTGGTTTTGAAAACCCAGACCGCGGAATAAAGTTTAAAAATATAAATGGGTCTTTCTATTCCTTCGATTGTTTATACACAAAACGGTTACACTTCAGAAATAGTAATCCATCTATTCAATCTTTGTTTTTTTTTTTGTTGTTTTGATAAGCATAAAGTATATTACAATATTATGTTTGTATATTTCTGAAAATTTAAAGAGTAAGATATAGTAAATATGAATAATTCATTGTCAAGTGTTAGTTATCCATGAGTAGAATGTAAAAATTTTGCGTTTTGCATACACACTTAAACACATGGTTGACTGATTAATGCTTTTGATTAGTGAAGATCATTTTTATTTATAAAAACTATGCATAATAAAAAAAAATGAATAAATTAAGTTACTTAAAATGATTGTTAACAATTTTTTATTAACTGTACCCTTTCTTTCATCCCATATTTTTTGAAAACTGTTTACAGTATATTAGTACTTCCGAGTAAATATTTTAAGGTAAAAAATTTTTTATTCATGAGAAGTTGAAGTAAGCAATGTGGAGGGTTGCTCAGCACCCTATTTACACATATCGTGAGTTAGGTTCCTATAAAAAAAATATCCCTTGCTCGATATTATAGAAGTATTTATATTTCAATAGAAAATACAACTTGTTAATTGAAAACGGACCGTCCGTAAAAAAATTGATTAATCTCTCCTCAACTCGAATTTTTCAGTTTCAATACCATCTTGAGTTATAATTTTAATGGTGATCGCATCACCAGTGTAAATATCTCTTTCAGCAGCTGATATGAACACATCTTTGGCGATAGCCACTGCCTTCTCCTTGGTCAATTTAACTTCTATTACATTTTCTTGGTTTTGATAACCGATCTGCAATGAAATTTATTTGTCATGACTGATCTTATTATCCTAAGCTCGCGTATTTGTACTGCATCAGTGGAAAATATTACCTGATTATCAAGCAGTGGTTGCAACAGGGCACCAGATGATCCAGTGGCAAAAAATTTATTCTCTTCCATATGACCAACTGGATCGTATCTGTAAATGACGCCTTTGCCATCTGAATCCAGACCAGCCAAGACATTTCCAATATAGTAAGGGAAAAATCGCTTGTGGTAAAGCATTGTTGACAGCATTTGGGCTACAGCCGGAGTTGACATATCTTTATGATGCTCGTGCTGATACATCTGGGATGAATGATTTCATTAACTAATAACTGATCGACGATCAAAGTAATGAAATTGATAAAAAAAAAAAGGAAAAACTCTCACCTGCGTACGAGCAGCCACCACTCTGGTGAGTGTTAAAATATCACACCAGCATCCTGTACATCCCAAAACAGTGTTTGGGGAAAGTGTGAAGAGTTTTTCCTGATCACGCGTGTAAATGGAAAAACCAGTACTGAGACGGGTGTCTGCTGCTATCAAGCTAAAGTCGTCCCCAGAAAGAGCAACTACACTCCTAATGACAAATCAAGTGAACGATTAAAAGTCACAGTTTCGTTGAGAATCAAATGTAATTCCACTTAGGAGTTACATCTACTTCTATTAAGGTAGATTAAAATAGACTTTCTTAGTAACATGTTACTTGACGTAATATTAAAAAGAGGCACTTTTAGAAAATTATATTATTGAACTGTTTTGCTTTGAAAATCCATCATCATCCAGGTAGGTTAGGTCTAGAGAGAACTTACCCTCCGTTATTCGCGTAGGGGCTGAAGTGGTGCTGCCTCGGCACCTGGGTGTCGTAGTCTGGCAAATACCTCGAGGGATCCCTTCCATAGGCAACGGCCATCTCGGCTTTGTGTTTGGTGAAAACAATAATTGACTTTGAGGCAAGTAATTTGGTATTTTGTGCTGATGTTGATGACAATACACTTTTCCGGCACTTTGTGTGGTGTGTGATTCTGCTACAGCCGACAATGTAGGTTATGTAGAAATCCTACTTACGCGAGCTTTCAAACATTTTTGGAGGTAAATTTTAAAATATGTGCTTTCATTCCTACTTAAAATAAGAGAATATTTTTCGTTGTTTTTATTTTTAATTCTGGTAATGCAACTTTTGCATCGTACATTGACTAAAATGGTGATACAGTTTAGAGACGTTAATTATATTTCACGTACGAAAATCATCAAAATCATATAAAATCTACTTTATAATCATATTTTGATATTTTGTGTGAAGTACTTTACGTAATACAGTTTTAATAACCCCACATATTTGTTGAACATGGTACTGATGGATTATCAACTTGGAACTGCGTGTTAAATGTGCTTTTGCATTCCTGTTTTGGCGTATTGTAACAATTTCACAAAATGATCATCTGATCATCAATGAGGATTAATTTTTGGAAAAAAGCTCGATCTCACCATCAACTTGCAAGCCGTAGATTCAAAATATCCCTGGCTGGTGGTAAAAATCACTTTTGCCTCGCAACCGTATTAATAATAACCATTTTTCACAGCAGCGTTGGAATAAGGGAGAGCAACGCACCTTCATCACGTGCATATACACTTATTTGTTTCTGCAAGTTACATACCTCATACTTTCAGTAAATACACGGCAACCAACACACATCCATGCAAAAGTCCGCGAGCAAAATCAATATCCCATCTCTCGCACAACCATGTTATAATACTAACTTACTTACCTGCACATGCAACACCACTATGTATCTCATGTGTACACATGCGACATACATAATATAATATCATCCAGCAGTCTCTGGTCGAACCTCCCACCCTCCCTCGCCCTTTCACATGGGGAGGGCACAGATTCCCAGCCCAGTGCACAACCCTGATGCGCATTATTTGAGCTCAAAGTTTTTTTCAAACTATAAATGCAAGAATCCAACGAGGTGTGAAAAAAAAAAAAAAAAGAATCATCGATCCACACCTATACATGCAGATGCGTGTCCGAAAAACAGCTGTACCGCGGGAGGACAGGGTGTCGTAATCGTACCTATATTATGTATACACACTAACTAACCCGTGCGCAAGAGCACCAGCACGTAACACACTCTATGTACTTACCCCAATAAACAGAGGAGGGAATGAAAAAAAAAAAAAAAGGGGGGGGGGGGGGTGACGTTAGTATCATTTTTATTTATAAAAACTATGCATAATAAAAAAAAATGAATAAATTAAGTTACTTAAAATGATTGTTAACAATTTTTTATTAACTGTACCCTTTCTTTCATCCCATATTTTTTGAAAACTGTTTACAGTATATTAGTACTTCCGAGTAAATATTTTAAGGTAAAAAATTTTTTATTCATGAGAAGTTGAAGTAAGCAATGTGGAGGGTTGCTCAGCACCCTATTTACACATATCGTGAGTTAGGTTCCTATAAAAAAAATATCCCTTGCTCGATATTATAGAAGTATTTATATTTCAATAGAAAATACAACTTGTTAATTGAAAACGGACCGTCCGTAAAAAAATTGATTAATCTCTCCTCAACTCGAATTTTTCAGTTTCAATACCATCTTGAGTTATAATTTTAATGGTGATCGCATCACCAGTGTAAATATCTCTTTCAGCAGCTGATATGAACACATCTTTGGCGATAGCCACTGCCTTCTCCTTGGTCAATTTAACTTCTATTACATTTTCTTGGTTTTGATAACCGATCTGCAATGAAATTTATTTGTCATGACTGATCTTATTATCCTAAGCTCGCGTATTTGTACTGCATCAGTGGAAAATATTACCTGATTATCAAGCAGTGGTTGCAACAGGGCACCAGATGATCCAGTGGCAAAAAATTTATTCTCTTCCATATGACCAACTGGATCGTATCTGTAAATGACGCCTTTGCCATCTGAATCCAGACCAGCCAAGACATTTCCAATATAGTAAGGGAAAAATCGCTTGTGGTAAAGCATTGTTGACAGCATTTGGGCTACAGCCGGAGTTGACATATCTTTATGATGCTCGTGCTGATACATCTGGGATGAATGATTTCATTAACTAATAACTGATCGACGATCAAAGTAATGAAATTGATAAAAAAAAAAAGGAAAAACTCTCACCTGCGTACGAGCAGCCACCACTCTGGTGAGTGTTAAAATATCACACCAGCATCCTGTACATCCCAAAACAGTGTTTGGGGAAAGTGTGAAGAGTTTTTCCTGATCACGCGTGTAAATGGAAAAACCAGTACTGAGACGGGTGTCTGCTGCTATCAAGCTAAAGTCGTCCCCAGAAAGAGCAACTACACTCCTAATGACAAATCAAGTGAACGATTAAAAGTCACAGTTTCGTTGAGAATCAAATGTAATTCCACTTAGGAGTTACATCTACTTCTATTAAGGTAGATTAAAATAGACTTTCTTAGTAACATGTTACTTGACGTAATATTAAAAAGAGGCACTTTTAGAAAATTATATTATTGAACTGTTTTGCTTTGAAAATCCATCATCATCCAGGTAGGTTAGGTCTAGAGAGAACTTACCCTCCGTTATTCGCGTAGGGGCTGAAGTGGTGCTGCCTCGGCACCTGGGTGTCGTAGTCTGGCAAATACCTCGAGGGATCCCTTCCATAGGCAACGGCCATCTCGGCTTTGTGTTTGGTGAAAACAATAATTGACTTTGAGGCAAGTAATTTGGTATTTTGTGCTGATGTTGATGACAATACACTTTTCCGGCACTTTGTGTGGTGTGTGATTCTGCTACAGCCGACAATGTAGGTTATGTAGAAATCCTACTTACGCGAGCTTTCAAACATTTTTGGAGGTAAATTTTAAAATATGTGCTTTCATTCCTACTTAAAATAAGAGAATATTTTTCGTTGTTTTTATTTTTAATTCTGGTAATGCAACTTTTGCATCGTACATTGACTAAAATGGTGATACAGTTTAGAGACGTTAATTATATTTCACGTACGAAAATCATCAAAATCATATAAAATCTACTTTATAATCATATTTTGATATTTTGTGTGAAGTACTTTACGTAATACAGTTTTAATAACCCCACATATTTGTTGAACATGGTACTGATGGATTATCAACTTGGAACTGCGTGTTAAATGTGCTTTTGCATTCCTGTTTTGGCGTATTGTAACAATTTCACAAAATGATCATCTGATCATCAATGAGGATTAATTTTTGGAAAAAAGCTCGATCTCACCATCAACTTGCAAGCCGTAGATTCAAAATATCCCTGGCTGGTGGTAAAAATCACTTTTGCCTCGCAACCGTATTAATAATAACCATTTTTCACAGCAGCGTTGGAATAAGGGAGAGCAACGCACCTTCATCACGTGCATATACACTTATTTGTTTCTGCAAGTTACATACCTCATACTTTCAGTAAATACACGGCAACCAACACACATCCATGCAAAAGTCCGCGAGCAAAATCAATATCCCATCTCTCGCACAACCATGTTATAATACTAACTTACTTACCTGCACATGCAACACCACTATGTATCTCATGTGTACACATGCGACATACATAATATAATATCATCCAGCAGTCTCTGGTCGAACCTCCCACCCTCCCTCGCCCTTTCACATGGGGAGGGCACAGATTCCCAGCCCAGTGCACAACCCTGATGCGCATTATTTGAGCTCAAAGTTTTTTTCAAACTATAAATGCAAGAATCCAACGAGGTGTGAAAAAAAAAAAAAAAAAGAATCATCGATCCACACCTATACATGCAGATGCGTGTCCGAAAAACAGCTGTACCGCGGGAGGACAGGGTGTCGTAATCGTACCTATATTATGTATACACACTAACTAACCCGTGCGCAAGAGCACCAGCACGTAACACACTCTATGTACTTACCCCAATAAACAGAGGAGGGAATGAAAAAAAAAAAAAAAAAGGGGGGGGAGGGGGTGACGTTAGTAGGTAGTACCTATATAGACCACGAGTACAGCGAAGAGAGTAAGCTAGTGGGACTTGACTCTCTTTCCCGCTGGGCACAGTGGCACACACGTACATCATACTGGTGGGCCGCGGAGCGCGCGCAAACGTCGAAACGTCGAAGCGAGCGCCGGGCGCGCGGATAGTAGTCGTTTCCAGCCCCGTGTATCCCTATACACGCAAGAGAGTATACGAGTATACCGTGGGCGAGCAGTACGCCACGAAAAGGCGAGCCTCACAGGAGGAGCTTCACCACGCAGTACCGCGCACACAATAACACTCGTTTATGCATACACAAGCGCGTGTAATGTAAATAAGCGCGTAAAGCTCGCAAGCTCTTGTGTTTTTGCGGTGTACCGTGTAATCCAAGGGCGGTTGTTTTTGGCTGCGCCAAAAGTTTAGTGCGAGGATGTGGCGCGGGTGACGAAAGACTAGGTGACAGCCGCGGAGTAACCCCAACCGCAGGGAGGTGTCCCCGATGTTGAGGGGACTCGGTGCGCATCGACACCCGAGAGTCCTTTCGGACCCGCCGCTACGCCACTTGGAGGCTCCACCAGTCCAGTAGCCGCTGCGACATGACGCTACAGGACCCCTACTACCTCGCCAGGGAGTGAGTGTCGCACTTTTTGTACATACCTCCTCGTAAACAAAATACATACTTTACCTACAGTCCATTTTTATTTTTTTTGTCACACCAACCCCATTCGGGAACCATGGATTCGTCCCCCCCCCCTCCCTCCAACGGGTCATACCTATCTGTTTTCTTATGGTAATGAGCGCTCTGGCCTGCCCATCTTTTTGTTTTCTTCCCTCTACCCTTGCCTGTACAATTCCACTGTACCATGTATTATGATGGGCAGTTGCGAGCTTCTTTTTTTGTTTTAACCGCTCGGTGCAATCTATACGTGGATGTAAAGTACCTCCCATTGATCAACGTATAGACCGGGTTGGTTAATGAAGTGGAAGATCCGGGCGCTAAGAGGACCGATGTTTATCGACCCTCTCTCTCTCTCTATCTGATGGTGCATCTGGGTTTCCATGCCCAAGGGGATGATTGACGCTCGCGCGGTGGTGCGCCCCCTCTTTGTTCCTACTCCGCTGATGTGGCCGGTAATTAAATTTTCCTCGCTCTATACTTGTGTGCGCGTGAGTGTAAAGGGGGGATAGAGGGGCAACAATTTTTCTGGCGGGTGTATTGCTTTTACTGCGCAATGGGGTTATACCTCTTGGTCAACCAACTCAAATGAGGACCCATTACGACTTGATAATATACGGATGCTATTGACACAAAAGTTTACAGGTATTTGGTTTAGGTTGATGCCGGTGTGTGTGGTCTGCTGACCGAAAAACAAAAAACAAAAAAAAAATTACTTACTTGCTGCGGTCATTTTAGCCGCTCTGATGTATACATATACAGGGATAAGAAAAAGAAAAAGGTGCGCATTGGCGTTGAAACAGGTTCAATTGCGTAATTATTGCATGAATAATTCACGCGAAAAAAAAAAAAAAAAATGTAAATCCCACTTGGATGCATCTTTTGTCCCTTTTATGCGATCCTCTCTCGGACGAAAGCCCGAGCTTACAAGCGGTTCTCGTCCGAAAAGGTATATAACGTATCCCCGAGTGATTTCACTGCCATGTATGAATGCTCGCTGCAAGAGATCTCCGTCGCGCGTGCAACTTTAATTAAACCCATCCTTCATCCTTTCTCCCTCCCCCCCCCCTCTTTCTCTCTTGCCGAATAGCTCTTTTTTTTAATTCAATACCTTTTCACTTTAAATCGAATTCGCGTGAATCTACGAACAAAAGTGAAGAATAATACCTAAATATTCGAAAAAAGAAAAAAGAAAAAAAGAGAGAACGCGAGGGTGGCACAGAAAGCCGACGGCGGAAATGAAAAACTGGCGTGGACAGAAGAGGACGATATTGATTTTTCGGCTTTTCGTGGATTCGCAGGTACACGGGTACGAATTGTAGGGCTCCAATAGCTATCGTAACGATTATTTATGAATTCCCCGCAAAGAGCGCGACCCATTTACCCCGATGGCGTTTTATCGCGTCATGCTCATTCGTAGTGTTGAAATCAAAGAGCAAATATGGCCTCAAACGAAACAAAAAAACTTGTACAACGTGCAGAGCCCCGGCAATTATCAATAAAATTCTATTAAAGCGCGCCGGGCTGGCTTTCGTCAAGATGGGCGGTTTTTATTGGCTCGACCGGTATAGCCCCCCCCCCCGCATCATATTCATGTATGATTATTGCATTGAGCAAAGTGCTTTGGTATATTGGGGCTTTGTGCGTCAAATTGTGCACGTATAGTTCATAGAGAGCCAAGAAGCGTGGGTACAAAAACTCGTCCGAATATTGTACACCGGACCATTTTTTCTTCGTGTGTCAGTAGTGAAACAATAAATTGAATAGGGCGCCGATCGCCTTACGAATGAATGTAATGCGATCGTATTCAATCGAACATTTTCGGCGTATGTATTTTTAACCGACACAAAGCTCGGCCCATCGGCGAAGGAATTCCGGTATATACCCCAGAGGGAGGGGGCGCAAAAGGGCACACACGCGCGGCTCTCGGTTCGTGAAATATTCAATCGAACGGGGTACGGAGGTATCATCGGCACTCGATTCCCGCGGAGAGAGGGTCGGGAGGTAAGGGTACACGTGATGAAATCGCGCGTGATTGGTCTGCTTTCGAGTGTATATAAGTTGTACGTTTGAGTAAATATTTCAGTAGGGCTTATTTGATGTACCCTTTGGGAGCTCAATCGAAAACTTGTCGGGGTATTAAGATGAAAGACATAATTGTTGGCATTGCAATGCAAATAATTTACAAAAATCCAAATATGCAACATAAGAAATGATTTCATGACTTTTCGAACAAAGAGCAACACTTTTTTTAAAATCAATAAAAACCTAAAGTCTAATGAAAATACTTTGATTTTCATAAACTAATTATTTATGAGCTCGATATTTCAAAAATTTTGATTTTAAACACAGCCATTGTAGAACGAATCCAAAGCTTAATCTTCAAATTTTTTTATTCATTCAAGGACCCTCAGCTTCCGTACAATCTCTGCACGCATTTATCACATACCCACCCACATTACACTCGTAACACGTCTCGCCAGTGGATGTACTTATTCAAGAGCTCTTTTTTTTTCCTCAGCAAGAAAGGGGGAGCCGCGCGACCTTTCATTCTTTTGATTGATTATAGATCTTGATGGCCTCGTTCGCGAGGGTGACGAAACTCCATGCGCGTATATGAATGTATCACGCGCGTTACCATTTTCATCGTCCAAACTTTTTGACGAACTCCAATTACGCAGTACACTGCTGGTGATGAAACAAAAAAAAAAAAAAAATGATGACTTTTAGGATATACACCCCCAAGTTCTCGGAACGCGATCGATGGACTTTTACAGCTGGTGCTCAAACACCTGAGTAAGTGGACAGTAACAATTGGGAGGACGGAAAATGAATAATTTTTATAGAACCGAAAAAAAAAAGAAAAAAACTCGACCCACCCCGCCTTTGCACTATCTAAAATGTTATATTTCGGGCTGTTGATTAGTCCGAGTCATCATAATATATGACAGCACGCGTGTGAGTAAAACCAAAAACATATATATACTTTCCGTCCTTGAACCCTCCGCTATACACGTCATCCTCTCTATTTACCTTGCGTATATACCCTAAAAACGAACTAATAATCGCCTAATGGGGCTCGCACACGCGCGCGTGTATTTGTATATACCATCGAGTAAGTATAGTTTCGGGGTGAGTCCGTTGCTTTCGAATAAACGAAGTGGTATATTATTTTTACTGCGTAGGCTCGGGTATAGGTGTATAACGCGGCCTTTGTTTTCCTTTTTCCCGTTAACGATCCGGGCGTGTTCGTATCTCGCTTCGATACTGGTTAAAAAAAAATCACGGACACGCACCGGTACGTTTGTCTTCTCATCAATTTTTGTTCAACTTCTCGCTACAGGGCGGAAAAGAGGCATCGGTCGATAATCCCACCGACCTGATGATGTCATCCCGAACCATGCAGGAAAGTGCTCTTTGTTTGAATGTGTACATCGATATCGATTTTGCGAAAAATCGGTAAACCATGCAAACAACGCTACGGTAAAATGGAGCTCTGGAAACTACAGCCTATAGCGTCGTCCGATGGAGAGACAATCTCCGCTTTGGATTAAAGCTTCCACCCTATATACACATCTCCCTTTTCGTCTCTGTCGACATTGCACCCACTACATTATAGTTACATTGTAGCATGATACGGGCATCTATGTGTACTGTAATCGCGTTAAATAGCGTCATTGCCATGCATATACATGTATATCTACAAGTGATGCAGCCAAGCTGCCGAGCTATCAGCGGGTTACGGAGCTTCTCGGGATTATGATGTGTTGCTGTATGTGCTTGCTCGTACATTATTTATACACCAACAACATGTATGTCCCCTCAACACCCCGATCTCTTTCTCTCTGCCTCTAGTTCTATAGTTTTGATTTTCTCACCTTACGTGCATCAACACTTTAATCGAATTCATACGATCGATCGTCTATTACCACATACAATGTACACCCTCTTCTACTATTAATGTGAAAATATATACTTATTGTATAACTTGTCTTTTTATTTTATGATCAATAGTGGTTGTATGGATTGATGGGTCCACTAAACTTACAGTATCGATTGATTATCGCTTTACGTTTGAGTCATTTCATTATAAACAAACAACGAAAGGCTCGTCGATATACCTATATTTGGAATACATAAAACATAATATGTATATTACATACTTGAAAGCTTAGAAAATGTGATTCAAATGATATACTATGCTCACGCTTGTTTTTTTAAAACGCAATCAGTCCAAAATCAAGATGTGTATTAGTACGCTGCGTGAGATGAAATTCCAAAAATATAAAATGACTTCGGGCATTGACTTGTGTGGTATTACCAAAGAAAAACATAGCTGTAAGCATTACAAACTTGAGATCATGAAGCGATCGCCGTTTGCGAGTTGTCAAAGGAGCTTTGTGAATGTGCAAGCTCACATAGTGGCGGCAAATTCGAAAATATGCACAAGTGTAACCGTAAAGGGAGAAACGAGAACGAGTATTTTTATGTTTATTATATATGTTGTGCGTACGAGAGAGCTTTCGAGCTTTTTTATCTGCTACAAGCTCTGTCGAAAGATATTTCGGATGATATAATGCGTGGGTGGACCGACCGAGTAATGGCTCCCTGATTTATCGACACTAAAGATAAATGGCCGGGGGATTGACCCGAGATTCGTTTTATCGGTAAGAGGTAATAAAAATATACGCGCCAAAATATGTAATAGTAAAATAAATTCATCTGCAGTTATAATTTTTGTATGTAAATTTGAAAGTATATGGCTACTGAGTGAATGGTGATTTTTTTTTTTTTTTTTTTTTTATGTTATTTGCAACAAAAAACGTGTGATTTTGACTAAAACAGTTGTCCGACAAAGTCTTCGGAGAACACAAATCTTAGAGCTTGCAAAATTTAAGAATAAATATATACACCTCGAGCACGACGCACCATCACCCCCGCCGTTATATATACTCTTCTCTTGTCTCGACGATCCACCTAATTCGTTTAACCTACTTTTTACCGTCACGTATATATATCTATACGTACGTATGTATCATAGTTACGTGCATTTTACTGTACTGCGGACTCGGAAATATTTATGCGCTCTCCAAAGCGACTCCTCCGGCTCTCAACCCCCTCCCCCTTTTTTTGTGCCAAAAAAGCTCCGGCTCTCGGGTGGTTGAACTCTTAAAACTAAAATATGCGATGAAAAAAAAAAAAAAAAAAGAAAAAATGCACTTTCATTTCAAAACCAAATAAATTCACCCGCATCAAACTCGATCGATCGTTGTTACTATATGTTGATTGCGTTTTCCACCGCAGCGAGGTATGCCGAGCGTTGAACAAAACGCGGGGTCTGTACGGTCGACTGCAGGACCTGCAGGATCTGCGGACGGCGGGGGCCGGCACGTCGTCCTCGTCTATGCATCACAACAGCCTCGATGGACTGCCACCCCTCGACCCTACGGAAGAACTCGAGTGGACCGCCAACGAGCTACGCAACGCTCTCAGGGCCATCGAGTGGGACATCGACGAGCTCGAGGACACCATCCATATCCTTTTGCTCTGCTCTTTCTTTCTTTCTTTTAGGCTGCACAAACTCTTTTTTTTTTTTTTTTTTTTTTTTTTTTTTTTTTTTCCATACAATGTATACACGGTGCAAATACACGGCCCGTATGGATCGAGCTCGCACGAGTAATTGTTTATTTTTGTAGTTGTCTTAAAAAAAAAAAAAAAAACTCACTCGACATTAATTGCCTTTTAATTGTTTTGGTGATCGAGAACCCAATTCGTCGTAGCCGTGATTAATTTCGATCGTGATTTCTAATTAGGAATGAGCTAATACTTTTACTGGGCGACAAATATGAGTCTATCAATGATACGCGGGAAACCTGTAGGACTGAGGAATTTGACGATTATGAGTTTCAAATGGCTGTGCAAGTCTGTGGAAGCGAATGGGTTAAATTTATTTTTCGCGAAGCGTCCGAGCGAGGCTAAAAAGATGTGTATAAATAGATGATTTTATTTTTTGACGGCAAGCAAAGACCCATTTGTTTCAGATATTTTTGCTATGCGAGTGATTTTCTTATGAAAGACGCTTTTGAAACTGAAAAATGGATGAAAAATCTGTTGAAAATTTTCCTTAATGATTTTCTTTCGTATGCACGTATCGTGGAAAAAAATCCCAATAAATTTAGATCGGACAACAGAGACATGACGGTGCGACGGCAATTCATACGGGATACGCTCGACGAAATAAAGGTGAGGGAAAAATAAATAAATAAATAAATAAAGTGGAAGGCATGAATTTAAAAATAATATAGCAGTTTTATTTTTGTTCATATAACATGCATGTACTCACGTTGTACTGATTTTGCTTTTTCAGAACATGAAGGACAAAATTAACATGAACAAAGAAAAAGAGTACAACAGAACATCCAGGCAGGTACGTGCACATTTATATAATACATAATACGGCAAATAAAAGATGAATCAGCTTGGTATTTTTTACATTATTTTTAATAATATACAAAATATCGTTACAAAATCTGCCTACGTCGAAATGCGGAGATTCAATGAGACCCGAGAAATTTGATTTCTCGCGTGCTCGGGTAGCTTTAACGACTCGAGAACTTCATTATCATTATTATTATTAATATATAAATCTTATTGGTGACTCTGTATACAACACTCGAGTAGAAAAAAGATCGCTTCAGTTCTATACAGAAAAATTTATCTTACGTCATTCAAAAAGTTAATACTTCATTTAGCCTTAAGAGTTAGTTTTTTTATGCATATAAAAAAAAAGAGAGATATTTTGAAAAATACTTCAATAGTGTTAGTTCCGTTAATAAGCATATACAATACGTATTACATAATAATTGCCAAGTAGGTTTTATAAAAATATTTATAAATACGAGTGTGACGCACGCGCCCGCGTCGCATGTATAGGGAATGTCACGATGCATAGCGCGTTTTTGCGTACAATATATCTATATCGCATACACGACATCGAAAAACACGCGCGACCCCGTAAATGATACAACAAAAAAAAAAAAATAAAATAAAATAAAGTTGGGATCGCGAGCTCGAGCGTCTGCGCGGCTACCGATTTCTGATTACGTCGACCGAAATCCTAATAATCATCATTACTATGTCATTGCATCGATAAAACAGCGATCGCCAACCTCAGATGAACCATTCCTTCCTCTTTTGTACTTGATGCCCGGTGGCTGAATTTACGACCGCCGAGTCGGGATCTAGCGCTACCTCCGCGCCCTTGTCCTCTTGAGTAAGGTACTCGCCCTTGTGCCGCGATATGTACCTACCGATGAGGAACATCATGATGCAGAGGGCAATCAGCATGACGGCGAGCACGCCACCGAGAACCGCGGCGTCTGGCTCCCCGTAAGCGTCCCGCACCTTGTTCTCGTCTATCTCCGGCGGTGGCCTGGTCTCTATGGAGTTCGGCGGATGGGTTATCGGCTCGACGCCGCAGTAATCCTCCGTCAGCCGACTGCCGATCGAGCGCACGTTACCCGGACCATTTTCCTGGAAGAGCAGCTTCAGCGGGTAGATGTCGTCGAACTCGACGCGCGACACGCAGCCGATGAAACCCTCGGTCATCGACTCGTTCCTGCCGATGTACATGTACTGAATGTTGTTGAACTGGGCGTCGGCCGAGCCTTTGATGGCGAAATTGAACTCTTTCGGCTCCTGGTTGTCGACCTTTATGACGAGCGTCGAGCCTCCGTTCTTCCGGCCGATGTGCACGTCGTGGTACTGCCCGAGGCCAAAGTGCTTGTCCGGGTAGATGATCTCCTGACGCTCGAAGCCAAAGTCGAAAACGACGCGCAAGTGGCCGCTGTTCGACACCATGATCGTCATGTACTCGCCGGTGATGTTCGACGTGAAGCCAAGGAGGAAGCCCTTGGGATTCGTGGTGGTGAAGCCGACGCGGATACTCTCCGAGATCGTGGAGCGCCAACTGCCGGAAAAGTCGTACTTGACCATGGAGTTCTGCCGAAGATTGATGCCGATTTCGTCCGCGCAGATCGGGCCCTTGAACGCCGTCCACCTGCAGTCGCACCAGTAGCCGTCGTAGCGCTCGTGGCAGGTGCCGTTGTTGAGGCACGGGCTGCTCTTACACCTGCCCTCGCAGCCCTCGCTCACGCCGTACAAGCCACGGCGGGCGTGGCTCCTCAGATCCTGCAGTTTGCCGTTGATGAGCAGCGACCTGATGCAGCCCACGTACCCGTCCCGGAACTCCGTGGTTGCGCCAACGACCAAACTGGAGTCGAGCTGGAGTGCGCGCACGGGACCCGGAGGCTCGCGCACCTCGTTCTTGAAGGCACCGTCGATGACTATGCGCGCCTCCTTGCGATTGCGCTCCACCGAGACGCTGTGCCAGTTGTCGTCGGCCAGCCGGCTCGAGGTCTGAACGCTCACGGCCAAGGGACTGCCGCCCGCTTGGTACTGGAAGTGTATCTGGTTGCCCCCGTTGATGGATATCTTGATGTAGTCGCTCGAGCCCTTGCTGTGGATGATGACGGCGTTGTCCTGCGTCGTCTTGAACTCGAAGTAGATGTCACCGCTGTGGCCGATCTCGAAGGTTGGCAGATTGATCGTCGCGTCGACGATGCGGAAGGTGACGACGTTCTGGGAGAAATCGTCGCCCTCGCAGACCAGGGGCCCGAGCGTGTACCTGCCCTCCTTCTCGTCGAGCGACGTGCCGGTGTTGCCAAAGCGCAGCTGCTTCACGGGCAGGTGATCCTTCTCCGCGATCTCGCCGGCGTCCTCGAACCAGCCCTCGAGGTCCGCGTCGCAGTTGCACCACTTCTCGGGCTGCGCGCAATTGCCGAGGATGCCGCACTCGCACTTGCGCGAGCCCGGCAATGCGCCACCCCAGTAATCCATCTTCTGGTTGTTACGGCCGACCCACCAGGAGTTGGGCTGGAAGGGCTCGTTCAGGTTGGACGGGCTGTTGAAGAGGTGCGAGTGCTTGCAGAAATAGCTTAGGTGCTGCCTGCAGTTGTCCGAACGGCCAATCAGGGCCTCGATTTGGTCGTGCTCGGCCTCGTAGTGGATGTCCTGACTGAAGCTACCCGGCGCCTCGAAGCCCTTAACCGTCGTTGGTTTTTCGTTGCTGTGGCGCAGGACCGTTATGACCCGTTCGCCGGCAAAGTACTCGCAGGTGACAGGGAACGGACGTAGGGGACCACTGCCGTCCACGTCTATCGTAATCTCGGCCTTCTGATTGACGGAGGTTGGCGACTTGCGGTAATCCGTACAGGAGAGCGGATTCAGGGACGTGTGGCAGACGGCTCCCGAGTAGCCGGTCTTGGAGCAGTCGCAGAAGAACTCGTCGGAGTTCTGCATGCAGATGCCGCTGTGCTCGCACGGGTTGGGATTGCACCGGTCGACCATCTGACACGCGTCGAAGACGATCTCGTGCTTGCAGCAGTATTGGTCTTCCTTCCAATCGGTCGGCAGCTGGTAGTTACCGTCTATCTGGATGACGCGCATGCAGCCGATGAAGCCGCGCTGGTTGCCGGGCATACCACCAACAAAGTACATGTGACCCGTCGCGATATCCATCTGCCGCGTGGTCTTGGTCGGCCGGGAATCGATGTTGATGGTCAAACTATTTTTCGCCATGGTAAACACGATCTGGTGCCACTTGCCGTCGTTGAAGGTCTCGTCAAAGTTGTCCAGAATGGCTTTTTGCTCGTCGCTCTTTGTCTTCAGCTCGACCTTGAGCTTGCCCTCTTCCAAGAACATCTTGACGTAGCCCGAGGAGATAAAGTCGTGGTAAAAGATGATGCCTTGGCCCTCGTAGGTGCGGAAGGACAGCGAGATGTTCATAGAGAACAGGCCCTCGTAGCCCTTGAGTTTCGCGTAGGACGAGGAGGTCAAGAAAGTCACGGAGATTATGGGTGGCTCGGGACAGCTGTAGGACGTGTGCACGAGCTGATAGCGCCACTTCTCGTCGTTGGCTTCCTGGATCTCCTTGATCATGTTGGTGTAATTAAAGAACAAATTTTCAATGCAACCCGTGAAATTTTGATTAACTACGAGGCCCTGCTGCTTGTTGGGAACGCCGCCGATGTAAAATTCCCGGTTCAAGTCGAGCCTGTGAAACTCGCCCTTGATGCGGCCGTCGATGAAAACTCTGTCCACGGAAAACTTTACTTCGTTGTGGTTCCTGGAGAAGCCGACGTCGTGCCACATGTTGTCGTCCAAGAGACTTCCGACCGAAAAACTGGTCATTATGCCGGAACCGAGATCAATGTTGAGCAGCATCCTGTTGTCGCGCAACTGCAGGGCAAAAAAGTCCCCTTGAGAGCCCCGCGAGTACATCATAACTCCGTCGGCGTTGTTGGTCTTGAAGCGAAAGCGCATCGAGTGCCTGTAGATTTCCCTGTGCAAATTCCAGCTCACCAGCGACGAGCCATTGAACGACAGTATATTGGACACGTAATCGCAGCCGTAGAGCTCGACTCTCATCGATATTCTGTTTCGCCAGCGAGTTGGGTTTATCCTCACCCACTGGGCAATGATAGGCACCTCGAACATGTTGTGCTCGACGCTGCTTCCGTTCTTGTTGCCCGTGAACATTTTAACGCTGCCGTCCGAGTCCTTAAAATCTACGTAATCAAGGCCATTGGTACCGTAACTGATGCCGTACTCCATAACGTACTCATTGTTATTGGCCCTTCCTTGGGTGCTTATGGCAGTGATGTTCATGGTCTGTCCGAGATCAATGGTAAGGTACTGGCTAAAGTCGGAACTGTGGGCAGTCCATGCATTGGGCCCGTAGAGTCTGGCATTAGATGGTCCTCTCTCCGGCAGAGAGGAAGAGGCCTTGAGCTGTGCCCTGTCCAGCAGTGGATAGCTGCAGTAGTCATAGTCGTAAGCCGCGGCCCCGAAAGCCAACAGACTCAGTATCAACACTACAGCCTCGGTCATGACTCTGTAATTAAATTTGGTCATTTTTTCGTCATGTAAAACACCGTATCACACGTACAAAAGCATCGCGAGGTACAAAAAGAGATTAAAAACGATTTTGTTGGAAAAAACCAATATAAAATGCAGCAGCGCCGGTTGATCACTCGCTCGCGGCGGTAGAAAACGACCGAGCTACCTGCACGGGAATGTACACCGTATAGTATACAAAAAAGACACGCCCGTTACAGCGCGAACACTTGTTTCTTGTTTTTTGGAGCAAGTATAATAATTACAATCACCACCGTTTGATGCGCGTGTACGAGGTTAGACGGAACGGATTAAAGGAGGAGAATAGTGGTGTATATACACACCTAGGGGTGGTGTGTATAAATATATATACGCGTACGTGAGCTAGGCCGATTGATCAATAAAATATATGTATCCCCCTCACGACGCCGTCGTCGTCTGCGCACTCTCGTTTGTACATCTGCAGCCGCATGCGGATGCTGCTCCTCCTCCGTTTGTATAAAACGTCCAATCTAATCCTCAAGTACTTATATGCACCAAACACAAAATTATTCCGTACCTATTATCGTATTATTTCACACTTTGGTAAAAAAAACTCGCGTCTCTCGTGGGCCTTCATCTGCGCTTAGCTGGGCTGGGCTTGTTTTAAAGCCATTGGGCACTTTAATGACAAGTACGCTTGTATAGGTACGAGGACAAACGAGAGACTAGCCACACCTAAAGTTCTTCAATTTCGCTCGGCACGGTGTGGCAGTGACGCTACACCGACGCTGGTGACCTGATGACTGGCTCTCTAGCTGTGATATACCTGATGCTTGCCAGTGCTCCTGTGTGTGCAACACACGTAAAACACGCACACTTTTCAACTGCGTCTCGTGTCGTCACACTGTCGAGCTGACTGGTTGGGTGCTGTAACGTGACACGCGCCGATATAATACACCCGCAGTCACTCACCCTCATGGTTGTGTACATATTTATGCATACCTAGGGATATGATTCACAATATTTGCGCAGGCACAACCGTAAAAAAATCGGGCGCACGCGCTCTTCGGACGCTCTTCTTGTTTTACTCCTTTTTTTTACACGTCGTACCTTTATGTACATCATATATTATATACCCACGCAACGAGAACATGTGCGATGTGAATATAAGTATTCATAAGTAGGTACTTACGATTCTTGAGTACTATACTGCACAAAGGGTATATGTATACACCGCTGATGAGAGCCCGTCAGGGTTTTAAATTATGAATGAATGAATACTGCGGGTCACAGATGGCGAACAAAAGCTGCTGCTGTTGCCACTGTTCCCCCCATGTACGCGAGCTTTGCAATAACGGCGCAGAATAGCCTAGTTGAACTCCATGAAAGCTCCGCTTTTCTGATCGATGGATAGATGATTCGAGGAAAAACCGATCAAGGCTACGCGAGAAACTAAAAAAAAAAAAAAAAGTTTAATCGTTAAATTGCCGATACATGTAACGGCACTTTTTATCGGATGATTAAATTTTAGTTTGAGTTAGAAATAGCTTTGACAAAATAATCGCGCAAAGACAAATACGTCACCGCTAATAGTCCATTTGTATCATTATATCGGTCCGAACGTTTGATATATATATATATATACCGCGATGAGCGAATGAATAAAATCGGTTGGCCCCCGCCATCTCCTATAATATCTTTATTTTCTTTCTCGTTTGCTTTCGATCCAATATTATCGTTACGTGCTTCATTTAAACTACCGCGCGCACACATAATATATATTACCTTTGATTACATTTACAACAACAAAAAAAAAAAAAAATCTTTATGATCAATACAAGATTGCTTGCCTTGTAGCCTGCAGTTCAGGACAGCCCGAACAAACCATCGCCACCGCCCATAGCGACTCACGGCGCAGCCAAGTACACGAAGCTGGAAAGCGACATCGACAGTCCCAACCGGCTGTACATCAAAGGCATAAGCAATCCAAATTCAATACTGAATCAGCACCACGATGATGATTTCAAAATCATGAGTAACAACACGGGCAGTCTCAAGCCGGTCACCCAGCAGTTTCAATTCGAGCTCGACGAGCGGCAGTTGTTAGTATATACCTATATATAAATATGTGTGCCACGAGCAAAAAGTTTTACGTTTTAACGGATTATTTGGGTTTTCCGTTGCACCAGCATGCTGGACGATTTCGGCAACGAGATGGAGATAATAACCGACACCAAGCTGGACACGACGATGAAGAAAATGGCCAAGGTGTTTCACTTGAGCAACGGTAACTATAACAATTATACCCCAGCACCCAATGTCGAGTACGTCCCGAGGTCTTCCTCCCTGTGCTCCCTGTCGAGTACACTCAAGTATTGTTTCCTCTGCTCGAAAGATAATGAGAATTGAACACGAAGCTTAAAAAAAAAATGAGGGCCTTACGCATTGCTGGTTTAATGATGATGATTTTTTCCATGATCGATCATACGATTCACAGTACAAAAAATCCTCCATGTACGTTTACGATTTTTGAGTACTGATGATATATAAAACCGAAGCATTAAAATTAACGATGCTTTTACTATACAAAACAATAATCTAACGAGTATTTTGGGATTATTCTTATTTGCAATCAATGTTTTTTCGAGTCAATATTTGGAGTTGGTATATAAAAAGGGTGATCGATATGAAGGGTACACAGTCAAGATAGAAAAAAAAAAAAAAAAAAAAAANAAAAAAAAAAAAAAAAAAAAAAAAAAAAAAAAAGAATTGATTAACAAATATTTGCAAAAAGGTTTACTTACTCTTTGCAGTGAAAAATATACATAGTTATACCGTTAGAAATATTGCCTAATGAATTATTAAAGATGAAAAAAGTAGTACGTATATGAACATATATATACATCTATATTTCGTAATAGAACACTGTGTCATGCCAAATAATGTCAGATGTATGCCAAAAAACCGAAATTAAACAAGACAGTTAAAGTAAATGAAAGCCGCGAAATTCGGGTGCGATAAAGTGAATTATTTATATTTGAAGTGAAACTAAAACAAATCCAATCGATAATACAAAAAAAAATAAATTATGATAAAGAGCCAAAACCAAAGTTCCAATGTATTTTGCAGAAGATTTTTTCTATTTTTTTTGTGATGCAAGTTTTATCGTTAGTAAAATGGGGGTACCGAACATTTTGTACGGAATATGGAGTACATACACGACGTTCGACAATTTTAAAATATGTCGAGATCTCAGGTAATGACTCAATATGTGACATGGTTGTTGAGCTATCAAATAGTCTATTATAAGTGTGAGGATTTAAATGTTAGATAAGGTAATAGGTATATAATTTGGAAAAGATAATATTTTGTGATTGTTATTGAAATATGTGATTAAATTTACGTTTGTGATGATTGAGTCATTTTTTAAAATGTGCACCTATTTACGTTTTTATAATTGCTCGTTGAGTCATGTTCTTTTTAATAATATTATTTTAAAAACTCTGTTTTGTTGTCAGAAAAAAATAATAGATTTTTAATTAGCGTAAGAACGATTACCGACTTCAATCAGCATTATTTCTACATATCCAAAGTATTTAGTTTAAAGAAGTAGTTTATAGATACTTTAGCTGTTAAAGAGTAAATTCAGTTTCCCAGCGCATGTATTTCAAAAACAAAATTTTGTAAACACGAAATTGTGTACCATACAGTTATACAGACCAATGTAAGAAGAAGGTCCAAAAAAAATTTATCGAATTCCTGAACGATTTTTGTTTTTTATAACAATATTAAAACAGTAATAAAGTTAGATCTGAAAAGTGTCTAGTATTTCATGATACCCTCATTGCAGTTGAATCATGCATATCGGTAAAAAAATTGAAAATCTACCTTATGTTAAACTTAAAAAATATTCATTCGTGTAAAAATATAAGGAATGGTTTACTTTTACGTCTGTTTTAGGTAGGACAAAATGGATAACCATCGGATTGTTGACTGCTATAGCGTTAGTTCTAGTCATTTCAGTTTTACGTAAATAAGGAGAATAAGCGAACTCGCAAGTTCCCAACAAGTCCGATATTTCAAGTTGGGCCTACGTTTTCTTCGTATAAAGATTTAATTGTAAGCGAACATCGAACGAATTAGTTTTAATTTTTATTACACGTACTTATTTATTTTGAATATATATCGTCAAGTGGTTGAGTATTTTCAATAAAAAAGGTTGTACATTACAAAAACATTGTTGTGATCTTGTCTTTAATATATTTTTTTTTTTTTAATCTTTTATCGTTGTTTTTTTAAATTTAATTTCTAATTTATTTGCGTTGTTTAACAAAAATTTTCAGGAAAGACGTACAGAAAAAACTCTTTTAGTTTTCCTAGTAAAGTTTCTTTATTTTTCCAATTAAATTCTTGTTCTACACTTTGTACTAGGCTTACTAAAATAACTCATTTAATATATTAATTCATAAAGATACAAATGAAAAGTGTCACGCTTTGAGATGCATAGAAAAACACAAATCTAAGTAAGTGAAGCCTTAAAATCTATGAAATTCAAAATTATACTTGTATTAAAAAAAAAATTTTCATACGTAAATATGGGGACTCTCGTATTCAAATTCCAAAAGTGAATAACACATAAACTTATTGGTCCAGTAAAAATGCAGCGTATACTTGACTCGAATACAATAGTAATCTGAACTATTTTTCCTTCAATTATCGTAAATAAAGAGAAAGAGAGAGAGAGAGAGAAAAAAAAGAAGATCTTTGGTATGATACTTAAAATATTGCAATAATCGGTCGCGCGGTGATAGGAGCACGCGACGCAAGCTGAACTGTGAAAGTACATAGAAAGATTACAAAAAAAAATTTTATATTTAATTAAATAAAACAATCTAATAGTAGATTTATTTATAATGTACACGATTAAGTATTGCGCACCACGCTCTCGATCGTTTGATCATTTTTCTAATTTTTTTTTTTTTTTTTTCCTTCCATTCCAATGCCAAACAGAAACTACGGTAATTTTTACGTGCACGTTCGCTGAAAATTTCACGACTTACCCGCAGCGATCGATAAAACTATACATAGGTGCGCATAGTAAGTACCATTTACAATGAGTTGTTTGTTTTCAAGGCACCTTTCAAAAAATTTCCATCCCAATGTCTCAACTATGGGATGTTTATTTTTCTCAAGATAATTTCATTGCCTCTGAATAATACATGCAATTCGCGAATTATTCCACTTCACCCAACGTGATTTTAGAGATGACATTGATCGGTATCAATTTATTCCGAATACTCTAATCATTTCAAACAACTCAAACTACAGATAATGTGAAAAACAGACGAAAAAATAATAAAAGAAAAGTAACATGCACTATGAATCCCGATGAAATACCAAAAGACAGGGACAGAGTTTTTTTCATACATCGTAAAGATGATGGAGGAAGAACATATCGAATGGCACACTCGTGAACGCGTCTTCCTCGTCAAGCACGAAAGAAAAAAAAGAAAAAAAAAAAAAAAAAAAAAAAAGAAAGAAGAACCTGCACGTTGCTGAACGAGAGACGATAAAGTGGAAGTAGAAGACGATCATAGGGGCACTCCTGTGGGCGTCTTGGGTGCGCTCTACTGGGGCTCGAGACGGACCCTCTTGTAGCAGGTGACGGGCAACACTTTCCGCATGTCGCTGATGTTCTCGACCTCGTTGCGCAGCCGGCTCACCTCGTCCTCGTAATTCTTCACCCACTGGGTCTGAAGGTTCTTGGCTTCGGTGAGCGCGCGGATGCGCTGGTCGAGGTCGGCCGCCCGGATCTCGGCCTCTGCCTTGCGCAGTCTGTCCTCCAAGCGATCCAAGTCCGCGTTGTCTGTGCAAATGAAAATTACATATTTAAATTTTTCTCCCCATTAGATTTTACTTTTTTTTCTTCCTTAATCAGAACTTACCGATATCCGGAAGAGCGTCGAGTTCTCGGGTGATCTCGGCTATCTCCTCCAGCGCCTTGGCCACCTGCTGCGAGGCTGCCGTCACGTTGGACTTGGCCTGGCCGACCTTCCGCTTGACCTTCGAACCAAACATCATTCATTTGTTAAATTATTCGCCCGTGGCAAACTTGTAAAACGTCTCACCTGTCCGGTGATCTCCGCGTCCTTTTGTATGCGGCTCTCGTACTGTCGGATCATCGAGTCCGTCGCGTTGGCGCGCAGATGGAGCTTGTCGGCCTCGTTGCCCAGTTTGATGACCTCGGCCTTGGTCTTGTTGGCCTCCTGGCGTATCTCGTTGGCCATGGCGCTGGCGTTGTTGGCGTTCGACTCGGCGCTCTGGGCCACCTCGCGAGCCCTGTTTGCGTTTTGCTCCGAGGCTTCGAGCACCTGGTGGACCCCCTGGGCTTTGCGCGCCGCGTCCTGGATCAGGGCACGGATCTTGGCTATGTCCTCGAGCGCCTTTTGGGCCTTGGCCCGAGCGTCTTGCACCTCCGCGTCGAACACTGCGGAGCGCGTTTGGTTTTACGGGTTATTCGGATGATGGATCAAAAATAACTCGTTTCGAAGGAACTCGTCGATAATATTAATCATTGGAAGTTTTACACGAAAAAGTGCTTATGAAAAACAAAAAATATTTGAGTCATGCAGAATTGATTTTGAATAAAAGCATTTCCCCTTTTGTACCAAAAACAATGTTTTCAAAAACAGACTTCAACAGTTATTTTATGATCATCCCTGAAACGCTTGCTCACCACTAAGCTTCTTCAACGTGTCCTGGGCCTCCTTGAGCGTCTGATTGCCACGATTGACGGCATTTTTGGCTATGCTGTTGGCCTCGTCGACCTCGGCGAGGTGCTCGGCGGTCACGATCTGCTGTTCCTCGGCCTTATCGAGCAGCTCCTCGCTCCTCCTGACCTTGTCCTCGACGTCGTGTACCAGCTCCTCGTTCTCCTCCAGCAATATTTTTGCCTGCTCCTTTATCTTCGTGGCCTGGATTGCGAATAAACGAAAAAAAAAAAAAAAAAAACCTATACTGCAAAAAAAAAAAAAAACAAAAAAAAAAAAAAAAAAAAAAAAAAATACGCACCTCCTTGTTGACTTCGTCGACGCGGTTTTGCATCTCCATCACGTTGACAGTGGGCAGGGAGATGCCCAGTATCAGCACGTTCAGAGCCTCTTTGGACACGGCATCTGCCTTTGTCACAGCCGTGGCGGTGAGCTTCTTCACGTCCCCGTAACGGTCCTCCAGCGCCATCAGCTTACTCTCCAGGAATCGAATTTCATCGCTATACGCGTTTCAAAAGTCACGTTAGTAAGGTCACGCTCTTGCAACCGAACCGGTACACACATGTGCACAAATACATCATCCACCCACCTGATGTTCGAGTACTTGGCGATGGCCTTCTTCGCGAGATTGTACGCCTCGAGCGACGTGTTCTTCGCCTGTTCGGCGACAACTTGAAGCCTCTTGGCCTCCTTGATGTTTCTAAAATTCAAAAAAATGTGTACACGCGTTAGGGAAAAACATTGATCTACAAAGTGGCCTTTGTACTCACAAGTCGGCCACGGCCCTGGCCTCCTGGGCGATGGCGGTCATCTGCTGGTTCTGCTGACCCACGTGCTCGGCGCGCTTCCTCGCCTCGGCCAGAGCACTCTGCCCATCCGTGGCCAGGAAATCTTCGGCTTCCTAAAAAAAAAAAAAGAAAAACCAATCAACCAAATCCTCGTCTTTCCCAACTGTATAAGGTTACCGATCGAAATTCCACGCACCGTGAGCTGTTCACGAATCTTGTCGAGAACGATCTCGGCCTCGTCGATGCTCATGCGTCCCTGGGAGGTGGTCTTGCCGGCGTCTATGGCCGTTTGATCGACGTTCTGGACCGTCTCGTTGATCTCGGTGAGCTGGTCGCGCAGCTCGTCCAACTGCTCCACCAGGGACTTTTTGTCGCTGCCTGTCGCCGACTTGGCGAGCTCGAGGAGCTCGTTGACGCGCTCCTGGACCTCGCGGAGCTTTTGCTTGAAGCCCTCCTCGTTAATGACGGTCGGGTTGCTCTTGATCTTGCGCAGCGTATCCTCGAGCTCGGCCAGCCGGCCCCGGTGCTCGTTCACCGCGTCCTGGACCAGGTTGTAGCAGGCCGGGCAGTCCAGGCAGCCGTACTGCCGGTTGTGCTTGTTCTCCTTGCAACGGTCGCACGTCCGGCCCTCCACGTTTGGCAGACACTGCGGGAGGACAACGGCATTATTTTAACACATGCACTTGCCCCGCGCCAAAGAAACCAATGAAACCAACAAACTCACGGAGCATTGTCCACTGGCGTCGCACTGTAGGTCCTGGGAGCCGATGGAGTCGCACTCGCAGGGCTTGCAGCCGTCCCTGCCGAAGCCGTACTGGTAGGGTAGACAGGCGTCGCAGCGTTGCCCGGTGACCCCGGGCCGGCAGTTGCACTGGCCACTGTGGGGATCGCAGGTCCTGTTGTACGAGCCCTCGAGGTCGCAGCTGCACGCGGCGCAACCCTCGCCGCTTCGGATGTTGTAGTAGCCGTCCTCGCACTTGTCGCAGTTGCGCCCGATCACGTGGGGCTTGCAGTAACAGTGGCCGGTCAGTTGATCGCACGGGGCGACTCCGGCCTGCCTGTTCTCGCCCGCCTCGAGAGTACCCGGTGGGTAGCACTGGCAGAGCTTGCACCCGTCCTCCTTCTGGTCGGACAAGGCGTCGCCGTAGTAACCTGCATTCATCACCACTTTTTTGTTGTTGCTCCCCACACGTATACACGATGTCGCAAACAGTTTTGTTAGCTACTCACCTGGCAGACACTCTTCGCAGTGGTAACCGGCTGTGTTGTTGACGCACTTGAGGCACTCGCCGGTCTCTTGGTTGCAGTTGCGCACCGCGTTTAGGTCTATGTTGTTGTTGCACTCGCAGGGCCTGCAAGCGACTCCCTTCTCCGGATTTCCAAAGTAACCGTCCGAGCAAATCTCGCAACGCGGACCTGGGTACGGATGATATTTTAATTTTCACGTAAAAAAGTGAGTTTTACCCCATAAATTGTTTACTTTTCGGTGTATGTAATCAATGCAGTACCTGTTCTGCCAACGGGGCACTCGGAACATATGGGATCGGGGTTATTGCCGAGCAGTATGCACGGCCCGTTGTCAGGGCAGGGGCAAGCCTGGCAGTCCTCCGGGGTGCCCTTGAGCGGGTGCCCATAGAAGCCACGAGCGCAGTGCTCGCAATTGCTGCCGGCTGTGTTGTGCTGGCAGATACATTGACCTTGGCGCGACGAGAGGAACAAAAAACCATATCGTTACTACCGTGCAAAAGTGTAAATTAAGTTGTTTGGTGATATATAGCTTACCCGTTTCTGCCTCGCATATGTCAGCGTGGCCGTTGCAGTTGCACGGGACGCACAGGGCAAACGGGCCACCGTTCGGGGGATCGTGGTGGTAACCCGGGGCGCAGGACTCGCAGAACTGGCCGACGTAGCCGGTAGGACAGGTACAATGCTCGACCCAGTCCGCCGGCTCGCCGGCTGCGCCCCGATGGGCGGTCTCGAGTCTCACGTCGTCCAGGTAACCCTTACCTGTATATGTCAACATCACACATCATCAAGTGTGAATCTTGCTAGATTATAAATATACCAGTATAATTAAATGCATTGTTACCCTGATGGGTGTAGGTGCCGCGGATCTTGATGGCGGTGAGGTTACTCAGGAGGGAGATGAAGGCTCGGGACGAGAGCCGCGGTAGCCAGCCGTAGTCCGGGTGCTCGTGCAGCCGGAACGTGTACTCTTGTACCTGTTGGGTGTACAAATTGGTAGTCATATTGAACAAAAAAGAGATGGTTTAAATAATGGACTTTAGCTCACGTTGACCGAGGGTAGCTTGTTCTTTTGTCCAAAGATCGGCTGGATGATCTGTTGGCCGTTGCCGGACTCGAGGATGACGTCGCGAGCGGTGGGGGCGGGCCCGTTGTCGCTGATCTTCAAGCTAAAGGTGAGATCTTGGTTGTAAGAGGCGCGCTGGTCGCCCAAGAAGCGTTCGGGGGCCACGAAGTAGACGTTGTCCCGGTCGGAGGCGCTGGCGGTGATGCTCTGGGTGAGGGCGTCGTAAGTGACGGGAACGGTGTTACCGGCCACGCTGGCCGACCAGCGCTCGTTGCCCCGCACGAAGGTGCTCTCGACGTTGACGCGCGAGTAGCCGGTCGCGGTCGAGCAGAGGGACGAGTGCCCGTAGCAGAAGCACGGGGTGCACCCGAACTCGTTGTCCTCGGCCAGGTTGAAGAAGCCCGGCCTACATCTGTGCTCGACGGGGAATCACATCAGTTAGATTATTTCTTTTTCTTTCTTTCTTTCTTTCTTTCTTTTGGTTGAGAGAAACCAAATGAAAAATCCTCACTCTCGGCAGCGCTTGCCCTCGACGTTGTCCTTGCAGGTGCAGATGCCGGTCACGGGGTCGCAGTTGGGCACGTTGCCGAGGGAGCCGGCCTCGCTGCAGTCGCACGAGGTGCACCCGAAGCTACCAAAGTCGAAAAAGTTGGCGGCACATTGGTCGCACTTGTCGCCCGTCACGCCCGGCTTGCACTGGCACTTGCCCTCCGAGTTACACTGCAGGCTACGTGAACCTGAATTTTTTTTTTTTTTTTTCAATTAATACCTACAGGGTTTTCTTTTTTTTTTTTTTTATTGCCTCTACTTTAATAAAATCGTCAGTGCGCTCGAGTTGTACCAAATGGCGCGTTACCGTCTCGATCAACCATGTTTCGATTGAAATAGCTTACCGATCTCGTTGCAGTTGCAGGCGATGCAGTAGCCGTCCTCCGGTCGGGCGTAGAAATTTTCGCGGCACCGCTCGCAGTTGGCACCGTCCCGATTGTCACGGCAGTCGAGACAGTGGCCACCGTGCCCCGTCGTCTTGTACAGCTCCTTGTCGAAGTAGCAACGGTCCGAGTAGCCGTTGCAGTTGCAAGCTTTTATTTTTACAAAAATATATATATATATATAAATTTTTTGATT